AAGACACGATTTGTCTTTTACTTTGGAGGTGGCAGCCTGACATGCCTCTGACTACTAGACTCCTAAAAACTTCACTGAATTGATAACTTCCTGAATCTTTGCAGAGTTTATCTCCTACCCTCTGGAATACGTCATATTTTACTCATCCTCTCCAATCAGTAGATGGTGTCACTGGATGGTGTCAGTAATGGATATGAGTGATGTTCTGTGTGATATCTTGACAGTCTTGATCTTTTCTGACTATATTATGACTGGGCATATGAGAATTAACGAAGCCCTGAGGAAAACTACAAATAAATGTTTGTATTCTGTCTATTGTTTTTAAATCGCTTTTCTAATTGGAATGGAAAAGCACACGTTTGCCAAATCAATTACTGTGTACGATGTACTTGGGACTTTGTTAACCTACTCTAGCAGCAGTATGGTACAGCAGCTCCAATCCAAACTATTACTTACCGAAACCTGTGGTAATATATATTATTCAGGATCCATCCAGTTTCTTCAGGGCCTAGTCTGGTAAATTAAGTGGAGACATAAAGGGGACTTGCTTGAGATCTATAAGGGTGGCACTAATTACTGTCATCTGGTTTGTGATATTGTTATTTTTTTACTCTCTTGGCTGGGAAAGGGCATTTTTAGAGGTTTCCACTTGGCCTTTCCCACTATGATAGCTCTTATAACAGAGATCATGGACTTAATTTAGAGGTTACTTCGACTTCCAGATATATCTAATTCAATTATGTAATTACAGAACTGGGAAGATTGCCACTGAATGGGTCCGTGGATCTGGTCGTCCCACTATGAACCTCTACCTAGGATTCACTTTATTACTTGGTCTCCATAAGTCCTCAGATCTGACAGAGAAGTCTAATGATGGTATTCTGGTATCAAAATGAATTCAGACCCAAGTCCAATAGTCCTTGAGATGTCTTGGTATCCCTCTCTCTGAAGTCTGCAGTCATCTGAGTAAATGGCTGGAAGATCCTTTGAGAAATGAATAAGGGTATAATCACAGTTATAAGGATCTCTCTGTATGTCATCAATACAATTTAGTAATAACTGGCCAACTCCGCTCTCTTTGTATAAACTGTTTCTGCTATAGCCCTTAGGTGCCTGAATCAACAATCCAGGTTCCCTTCACTAGCATGTTTTCCCAGGTAACCACCAGTGAATTGGGATTGGGCTCTCACTTTGTGCCACATGCTATCTGTGCTTCATATACCACTCAGGGTGAGTTGCTCCTTGCCAGCCAGATGGTGAGTGATCCCATCTCAGAACCCCATCTTACTGTGTGCTTTCTCATATTATTCATGGTTTCAACTGTGAGAGCTTAGGTCATCTGGGAAACAGATGCTAAGATGGTATTAGAAGAGAAAGAGATTGATTTTGGGAAATGTTTGTGAAAGGTAAAAGAAGAAAGATCAGGAGCAGATTGGAGAAACCTTTAGGTGGGAATGAGGTCTGACACCTGAAAGGAGAGAGAGAAGTAAAGAAGAATAGGGGGAAGACCACCAGGCTGTAAAGCAGGTTTGAGAAGTACCAGTCAAGTTTATGAGAAGCTCTGGAATAGATTGCTTGTTAGAGGAGTCCCTCTGCATTTGACACAAGTGTCCATACTCTCGTACTCTCCTCAGTCTTGGGCTGGGAGCAGCCCAGGGACAATAGGACTTCAAATAAAGTATACTTATGCTAAAATTTATTTGGTGCTTATCTAAAATTCAGATTTAACTGGATGTCCTGGACTTTTATTTACTGTATTTGTCAACCCTATCACAATGGCAGGGTTGAGGTTGTATGTGGCCACAATAGCATGGTCACCTACTCACTAGCTGTTTTAGCTATTGACCTTGCCCACCCCAGAGACCAGTGGTGAATCTCTAATACGTCACCATTCTTGAAGGAAACCAGAAATTGACTTGGGGGTAAGCTGAGTCCATTAAACCTCTTCAAAACTGCATGTGGCAATGACTCATCTTGACTGTAATCAACGCAATTTTTGAATATGAGTTTGCCTTTCTTTCCTGGAGGGCCTCAGCCAGCACTACCATTTAAGAGCAGAGGCTGTTGATCTACTGAGACAGGATTTCATCTAAAATACTGTATTAGACCCAGAGATCCACTTTCTGGCCAAAGGAGTCCAACACTAAGCACATGGCCTGGGATTCCGTTATATACAGCACCACTGAAAAGGTACTGAGCAGAGTGATGAAATGATGTGTTGATGACACAACTGAAGTGCCAGTTTGGAGATGATACCATGAGAGGATGGGCCATCACCTACCAGAAAACATTATATATCCTAAATCAGTGTCATCCTAAATCAATATATGGAAGAATATACAAGTTTGGGAATGGGAGTAGGAGTTGTTTTGCTTGTCATCATTCCCAGTGATTTTGTGCTTCCCATACTCACAATTCTCTGTTCTGCAGGTTTGGAGCTTTTGACTCTAAGACTGCAAGTACCTTCACCAGGAGACACACAGAAGCCCCATTGAATTTTAATCTATGGTTGCTGCCTGGTTATATTTCGCAACAGCCAAAAGAAAACAAACCGCCCGGTCACTTTTGGTACCATCCAAAAGAAAACAAGTCAGCATTATGACAGGGGAAACATACTCTAATCATTAGGAGGGGATGAGGGTATTGCTATACAATGGGGTTAGGCAAGAATAGATTTGGTGTCTAGGTGACCCACTTAGCTATTCCTTGGAAATGATAGGTCTTTCAGCCATGGCCTGAGAAGGGCATGGTGTCCAGAGTCTCAGACCCTTCAAGGATGAAGTTTTCAGTCACTGCACCAGATAAGATACCTATGTCAGCAGAGATACTAGCTGAGAGTAAAAGGAACTCTAGAATGGGTAGTTTAGGACAGAAATAATGAGTACCAGTTAAGGCCCTGAAACCAGCTCCAGTGACAGGTGCTATAGTGTCTTTCACTGATATTCTAAGTTTTCTACAGGAAAGAAGCTCAACATAACCATGGGATAATTTCTGCAGAATTTATCTATATGAAGCAGATGAGCCTGAGTAAGGTGAGGAATGAACTATAGTAGGTGTTGCCAACACCTCCTACATCCCTGCTACTTTGGCACAGAAGCTCTTGTTTCTCCAGCCGCTGAGATTGCTGGAGGCTGACAGGCTTCAAGTGAGTCCTTCTCCAAACATACTTGAGTTCGTGTCCTTCCAGCTTTATGCTCACATCCAACAACTAATTGGTCAGTGAAAACATGTCAAGACCTAACCCCATCGCCCTGATTTGCAACAATTTGGAAGGCCCATCCCAACCCCAGAACTTCTCAGGTGTTCAGCTGAGGCCCTTATTACTGTAGGCCAATCTCTTGTCCAACCAGCCTTTCTCCCTTCACTCCCCTCAATGGACATGGACCTTAAAACCACTCCCTAATCAACCTCCTGTGTGTTAATTTCAGTCTCAGAGACTGCTTCTCAGAAAACCTAACAAGTAACTGTGTTCTTTGCTTTTGTTTTAGTTATTGCTATTTCTTCGTAAGAAAAGATTTTTCAATATGTTCTTTTATAGTTTCTAGTGTTTTATGTTATGCTTAGAAAGGCCTTTACCATCCTGAGATGATAAACATACTCACCCCTGTTGTCTTATGGTTTCCCTAAGACATTTTAAAATTTTTAAAAAAATTTTTATTTATTTATTCTTTTATTGGAGTTCAATTTGTCAACATATAGCATGTCACCCAGTGCTCATCCTGTTAAATTGCCCCCCTCAGTGCCCGTCACCCAGTCACCCCATAATTTTGATATTACGAGAGGTACAGACTCAGTTTTACTTACTGATTTTTAAATGATCTAAAAATTCCTCTTTTGCTGAATCTTTTCTAAGGTGTGCTTTTATCCTTTTTTCAATTTCTAGGTTTCAATACTTAACTCATTTTTCATGCATTGTGTTTAGTACTGTAAATGCTTAAATTATGAATTTTTCTCAGTGCAGTGTTGGCTGCATCCCACATGCTTTACTATGTAGGTTTTTTTCATTAATTTTTTTAGATATATCATGCACCCAATTTCAAATTATTTTTGAAGAACTGTTTATATGAGCTTTTTATAATTTATAAATGATAAGAATTTTATTATTTCTTAGCTCTATTAGAGTGTGATTAAGGAATCTGTTTTGCACTATTTCTATTTCAAAAACATAACCTGACTACTTTTTATTTTCTGCATCTTTCTAATGTAAGTAAAAGTGAGGAACTATTTTCCTCATTCTAAATTGTTACTTGTACTTTGCCATGGGTTAGGACATCAAAAAATACACTATAAAGGCATGCAGATTTCTTACAGGGAAGGTCTCATTTCAAGAACTTTAGAGTAAAAACATTGGCTGTTCACATGCCATTTTGTCTCCTCCTAGGTTCTTGTTTTTATTTCTGAGTTCCCTTAGAGTTGGATGTGTCACCCGATGCCAGAGCCAACACTCCCCAATATGCCTTTAGAGAGTTTTAATTTGAAGGGTGGATTGATCAGGCTCTCCAGACTTACTCCCAGCCAAAACAAGGTATTGGGATTCCTAGGGTCTGGTTCCACTCCACTATCTGCTTGTGCAAGAGTAGCTATTCCTCTCTGGGCCTTAGCATCTCCATCTCTACATGGTGGCAATGGGGGAAAAGTGTTCTGAGTCTGATAATCTCCAGGAAACTTCTAGCTTTCTGCCTAGGTGAGGTGAGAATGATGGACAAAGCAAAGAGGACATGGCGGGGAATAGGGGCATAGGAGCAAGTAAGTGAAACAGTAAAAGAGGGCCATCCACTTGGTCACCCTCTTTCCTTCACTTTTCCACTGACAGAGAGTTCATGGTACATGCTTGGTAGGTCTGGGAGTCATGGATGCAAGAGGGGAACAGACAAATTTGGGTCATTTATTTGAGATTTAAATCCTGAACTGAGAACAAACTTGAATGCCTAAGAAACCAGCTACACCTTCTGTGCTTTGCTGATATATTTATTGATACATTTCCCCTTTTCAGGTGATGGTGACAAAAAGCAGATGTATCTCCCTACCCTACCCACCCCCCAGCAAAATACAGACACAGATTTCATTCAGCATATACAAGCATTGGGGCGTGTCCAAATTCACCTCACTGGGTTACCAGAGCCAGGAGAGGTTCGGTCTTGGGGGCCCAGGAATCGAGCAGGCCAATGCTGAAAAGAGGCTGCCATTCTGGGCCTTGCCACTGGGGTGTTGGCAGAGGCTATAGAATCAAACCATGATGAACAGAGCTGCCTAGCCCTGTCATATGGTCTATAAGGTGACAGTGGGCTCCTGAGTAGTTTCCAGTGAGATCCACAGTCCCATAGAAATCTGTGCCTCAGGGTTCTCATCTGCAAAATGGGGATGAGAATCCTGCCCTGAATATATCGCAGGGCTATGATGAGGCTCAAAATAGAAATAATTTGTCAAAAGTGCGTTGCAAAAGGTAAAGTGCTATACAAATTTAAGGGAATTCAATTCGTTGATTGTGATTGTGAGTGCCCCAGGATAAGAGTGGACTGGCTCATGGGTCCAGGGGCCAAGGAAGTGGCAAAACTCTTATGTTGTGCCTTTAGAGGGCACCAATCTGTGCTAGTAATGTCCACTGCAAAGCAGAGTTCTCTTAGTGTCTTGGCCCCAAGAAGTCACCATGGCCTAGCACCTTGGGTCGGGGCTGGGAAAGCCACTGGGGAAGTTACAGATAACATCACAGGGGTCAAGGAAGAGGAAAAAGGTGGCATATAAAGCAAGGGGTCATTACCGTTACCACACACAAAAATAGATACCCAATGGATGCAAGGCATTGAATTTGTAGTGCAGATGAGGGATGGAGGTGGGGAATGCGGGGAGAAGGAGGTGGCACAGCAGCAGAGGGAGATACTATCCCAAAGAGGCTCAATTGCTGCCTCCCTTCCTCGTAATAGGATAATACTGGTGTCTATCTGTAGGGAAAGGGAGGGCAGGAAGACAAAACCAAGAATATAATAATCTGAACTAAGGACTAGAGTCCCCTTCCCCCTTTAAAATGCTGTCCAGCATTTTAAGGAGATGTCACGAATAGGCAAGCAGCTGTCTGTGCACTTTGAGGCTGAGGCCAGAGCTGGGCCTGGAGCACCACAAAGGCAGTATTGTTTCTGGATAAAGGCAGTGGGTATCAGCACTGGGAGACGGCTGACCTACTCATACACGGGCATGGTCTCAGGGAGCTAGTAATTGACAGCCTGTTATATTTAAGCCTGAGCATAATTAACGCTCCTTGAGGAATAGAGAGGTGGGCCATTTTACTCAAAGTGGGCTGCCATCGAAGGTCAGTAAAAGGGTCAGGTAGGGGGGAGGGCCAGGAAAGAGCAATTCTCCACAGGCTTGTGTTTAGGGAATGGGGAAGGAAGGACACTCTCTTGTTGCTCCTGCTGCTGCTGCTGCTGCTTCCCTCTGACTCCCTTGACAAGGGGTGTGGGACCTCCTGGGGAACTGAGGAGGTTGCTCACAGGGTACCAGCTGGCACCTACAAGTTAAGGCAAACAAGCCAGTAGAGCACATTGAAGAAGAAGAAGGTCACAGGAAAAATAACTCTTGAGTAGTTATCCAGGCGGTAGATATGGATGAAGAGGCGGCCCTGCTGCCAGATGCTACCCTCACAACTGGGGACCATACAAAAATACTTCTTGTACCACTTGCAGCAACCACCAGGGCTCTGGGTGGTATCCAGGCTAAGAGACTGCTGGGCTGGGCAAGATGGGCCCTCCTCTTCATCACTTTCCTCAGAGTCCTCGATCTGGCACACAAAAGCTTCTGGATGCTGGTGGACATGGGCACGGGGAGGGGTACGGGAGCGGGCACGAATCTGTGGCTGGAACAGACAAGGGAAGAAGTGTGAAAAAAACAAAGATGAATCAAGTCTAGGTGCTGCCCCAGGGTATCTGGAGGCTTTGTCCTTGGCACATTTTTTAATCTCCCCCCACCATCCCCATTCCCAGCATGACATCAGAAAGTGTATTCAACTCCACCGCCCCCCCACCTCAGGTTCCCTCTCCCATCACTTGGTGAGCTGGCCATCCATGTGCCATGAACCCCAGTGCCCTCACTTGCATGCCTCCACACTCCAAAAGCTTGCCACCACTCCCATACCCAGGTCATACATGGCGAAGTTTTGGAGAAGCACGGGGTTTTGTCCGGTTGTAAGTCAGGAAGTTGAGCACAGCAAACTCCATCAGAGCACAGAAGCAGAAGACGAAACAGATGGCAATATAGAAATCCAAGGCTGTGATATAGGAGACACGTGGGAAATTCTTACGGGAAAAGGTGCCCAAGGTGGTCATAGTGAGTACAGAGGTTATCCCTGTGAAAGCACAGTAGTGGAAGTGGGCTTAGCTACCAATCCATATATTACACTGCTGAAAGGACCCTTGAGAAGGCAACTCTGTGCCAATTTGTGTATATTACCCACTTACCTAAAGAGGTTCTGGCTGGAGCAGAGTCTCTCTTGATCCAAAAGGAAACCCAGGAGAGCATTGTGGTCACAGAAGAAGGGACGTAGTTTTGAAAGGCTACAAAGCCAAACCGCCTGCTCACATTGAAGTAAAGTGTCATGACCGTGAAATCACCTGGAAGACAAAAATACCACTTCATTATAGCACTGACATGAGAGTCCCCTCAAGGCAGAATGTGCACATTAAGGGTCTTGTTCAGCTCAATGAATCCCCACCACAGTCCTAAGATAGAGGCACATTATGCCAATTCCACATACAGAGAATCAGAAGAAACCCAGAGAGGGGGCTCACTGCATGACCCATGGTCAGTTAAGAGCTAAGCCAGGGCCAGAAATGTCGTTGCTTCTTTCTCAGCCCACTGTCCCATATCCCACATCTGTCTCCTCAGGGTGGGAAAAGTGTCAGATGAAAGTGAAAAACTCGGGGGCAAGATGGTGGAAGAATAGGGTCTCCAAGTCACCTGTCCCCACCAACTTACCTAGATAACTTTCAAACCATCCTGAAAACCTATAACATCGGCCCCCGATTTAAAGAGAGAACATCTGGAATGCTATAGCAAGAAGAGTTCGCGCTTCTATCAAGGTAGGAAGACGGAAATAATAAATAAATAAATAAATAAATAAATAAATAAATAAATAAGCAAGCATCCAAGGGGGAGGCGCTCCACGAGGAGCCGGGAGAGAGCCCCCAGGACAGGAAAGCCCAGTCCTGGAGAAGCAGGAACTTTACCAATCTTCCCAGATGGAAAGGCGCTTGTAGGGAGCTCGGGCAGGATCCCAGGAGGGGCAGTGGAGCCCCCAGACTCCCGGGGTCACTAACAGAGGAAGCGCGCCCCTGGGGAGAGTGCGCCACACTCGGCGGCCGAGCTGCCTAAAGGGTTGCAGTGTACGCACGGCGGGGCCGGGGAGCAGCTCAGGTGGTGGCTCCATCGTCAGCTCAAAGCAGAGGGGGCTGCGGGATACAGCCCAAGATCCGGCGATCCTCCCCCTGGGGACCAGCGGAGGCTGGGAGGACACAGGACAGCAAGGTCACTCCAGCCACCTCGTGGCCCCGAGCTGTGCAGATCAGCGCCCCCCCCCCCGCCCCCGGAGCATCAGGCCCCTACAGACTGGGAGATGCGGTAGTTACTGCGGGAGCTGACTCTAGGGCAGGAGAACTGGCCGCTGCCACTGTTGTTCCTCCTGGTGTCACCTTGTGCCGGGAACTGAGCGGGTCTGCCAGGGAGCAGGGGCCTCACAGGGTCAACAGCTCCCACTGAGCCGAGCACCTGGCAGGGGGCGGGGCAGCTCCCCCAGGTGCACACACCTGAGAATCAGCACAGCAGGCCCCTCCACCAGAAGACCAGCTGGAAAGACAGGGGAAGAGCAAGTTCTCCACCGAGCAGCGCTGGAAAGTTCCAGGGGAAATCGACGGACTTACAGTATATAGAATCAGAGGATATCCCTTCTTGTTTTTTGTTTGTTTTCCCCCTTTTTTCCCTCTTTTTCCTACCTTTTTCCAGGACAACTTGTTCTTAGCCACTCTGCACTGAGTAAAATGACTGGAAGGAAGAACTGACCACAAAAGAATCAGAAACAGTATCCTCTCCCAGAGTTACAGAATTTGGATTACAACTTGATGTCAGAAATCCAATTCAGAAGCACAATTATAAAGCTACTGGTGGCTCTGGAAAAAAGCATAAAGGATTCAAGAGACTTCATGACGGCAGAATTTAGATCTAATCAGGCTGAAATTAAAAATCAATTAAATGAGATGCGATCCAAACAGGAGGTCTTAACGACGAGGGTTAATGAGGTATAAGAATGAGTGACATAGAAGACAAGTTGATGGCAAGGAAGGAAGCTGACGAAAAAAGAGAAAAACAATTAAAAGATGATGAGGAAAGGTTAAGGGAAAGAAATGACACCCTCAGAAGAAAAAAAATCTACGTTTAATTGGGGTTCCAGAGGGCACCGAAAGGGACAGAGGTCCAGAAAGTGTATTTGAACAAATCATTGCTGAGAACTTCCCTAACTTGGGAAGTGAAACGGGCATTCAGATCCAGGAGAGAGAGAGAGAGAGATCCCCCACTAAAATCAATAAAAACCACTCAACACCTAGACATTTAATAGTGAAACTTGCAAATTCCAAAGATAAAGAGAAGATCCTTAAGGCAGCAAGAGACAAGAGATCCCTAACCTATATGAGGAGAACTATTAGGGTAACAGCAGACCTCTCCACAGAGACCTGGCAGGCCAGAAAGGGCTGGCAGGATATATTCAGGGTCCTAAATGAGGAGAACCTGCAGCCAAGAATACTTTATCCAGCAAGGCTCTCATTCGGAATAGAAGGAGAGATAAACAGCTTCCAAGAAAGGCAGACACTGAAAGACTATGTGACCCCAAACCAGCTCTGCAAGAAATATTAAGGGGGATTCTGTAATAGAAAGAGGAAGTCCAAGGAAACAATCCACAAAAACAGGGACTGAATAGGTATCGTGATGACACTAAATTCATATCTTTCAATAGTAACTCAATGTGAATGGGCTTAATGATCCCATCAAAAGGCGCAGGGTTTCAGGCTGGATAAAAAAGCAAGACTCATGTATTTCCTGTCTACAAGGGACTCAATTTAGACCTAAGAGCACCTACAGCTTGAAAATAAAAGGTTGGAGAACCATTTACCATTCAAAAGGTCCTCAAAAGAAAGCAAGGGTAGCCATCCTCATATCACATAAATTAAAGTTTATCCCAAAGACTGTAGTAAGAGATGAAGAGGGATACTATATCATACTTACAGGATCTGTCCAACAAGAGGACCTAACAATCATGAAGATTTATGCCCCAAATGTGGGAGCTGCCAAGTATATCAATCAGTTAATAACCAAAGTTAAGACATACTTAGATAATAATACACTTATACTGGGAGAGTTGAACATGGCGGTTTCTGGAATTGATAGATCTTCTAAGCACAACATCTCTAAAGAAACAAGAGCATTAAATGATACACTGGACCAGATGGATTTCACTGATATTTACAGAACTTTACATCCAAACTCAATTGAATTCACATTCTTCTCAAGTGCATATGGAACTTTCTCCAGAATAGAACACATACTGGGTCACAAATCAGGTCTTAACAAATACCAAAGGATTGGGATTGTCCCCTGCATATTTTCAGACCATAATGCATTGAAACTAGAACTAAACCACAAGAAGAAGTTTGGAAGGATTTCAAACATGTGGAGATTAAGGACAATCCTGCTAAAGATGAAAGGGTCAAGGGAGGAGGGGCAAGATGGCGAAAGAGTAGGGTCCCCAAATCACCTGTCCCCACCAAATTACCTAGAAAACCTTCAAATCATCCTGAAAATCTACGAATTCGGCCTGAGATTTAAAGAGAGACCAGCTGGAACGCTACAGTGAGAAGAGTTCGCGCTTCTATCAAGGTAGGAAGACGAGGAAAAAGAAATAAAGGAACAAAAGGCCTCCGAGGGGGAGGGGCCCCGCGAGGAGCCGGGCTGAGGCCGGGGCGAGTGTCCCCAGGACAGGAGAGCCCCGTCCTGGAGAAGCAGGAGCTGCACCAACCTTCCCGGGTGGAAAGGCCTCGCAGGGAGTTAGAGCAGGACCCAGGAGGGCGGGGATGCCCTCGGGCTCCCGGGGACACTAACAGGCACCTGCGCCCCAGGAGAGTGCGCCGAGCTCCCTAAGGGCTGCAGCGTGCACGGCGGGGCCGGAGCAGCTCGGAGGGGCTCGGGCCGCGGCTCCGCGGAGGGGGCTGCGGGGGGCCCGGGAGCGCGAATCCAACAGCGCAGGCTCCGGGAGCACAGGGCGCCGGGACACAGCCCAGGATCCGGCCTCCCCCGGGACAGGCAGGGGCCGGGAGGGCCCAGGACAGCAAGGACGCTCCTGCCACGAGCTGAGCAGATCAGCGGCCCCGCCCCGGAGCCTCCAGGCCCAGCGGACGGATGGCCCCGTAGTTCCTGCGGGGGCTGAATCCAGGCTTCCAGAGCTGCCATAGCCACTGTGGCTGTTCCTCCTGGGGCCTCACGGGGTAAACAACCCCCGCTGAGCCCTGCAGCAGGCAGGGGCAGAGCAGCTCCCCCAAGTGCTAACACCTGAAAATCAGCACAACAGGCCCCTCCCGCAGAAGACCAGCTAGACGGACCAGTTCCAGGGGAAGTCAAGGGACTTAAAGTCTACAGATTCAGAAGATACTCCCCCGTGTTTTTTGTTTTTTTCCTTTTTTTTCTTTTTGATTTCTGATTGCTTCCCCCAACCCCCCTTTTTTCACCTTTCTTTCGTTTTCTTTCTCTTTTTCCTTTTTTTCTTCTTTTTCTTTTTCTCTTTTCTTTCCTTCTCTCTCTTTCTCTCCTTTTCCCAATACAACTTGTTTTTGGCCACTCTGCACTGAGCAAAATGACTAGAAGGAAAACCTCACCTCAAAAGAAAGAATCAGAAACAGCCCTCTCTCCCAAAGAGTTACAAAATCTGGATTACAATTCAATGTCAGAAAGCCAATTCAGAAGCACTATTATACAGCTACCGGTGGCTCTAGAAAAAAGCATTAAGGACTCAAGAGACTTCATGACTGCAGAATTTAGATCCAATCAGGCAGAAATTAAAAATCAATTGAATGAGATGCAATCCAAACTAGAAGTCCTAACGACGAGGGTTAACGAGGTGGAAGAACGAGTGAGTGACATAGAAGACAAGTTGATGGCAAAGAGGGAAACTGAGGAAAAAAGAGACAGACAATTAAAAGACCATAAAGACAGATTAAGGGAAATAAATGACAGCCTAAGGAAGAAAAACCTACATTTAATTGGGGTTCCCGAGGGCGCCGAAAGGGACAGAGGGCCAGAATATGTATTTGAACAAATCCTAGCTGAAAACTTTCCCAATCTCGGAAGGGAAACAGGCATTCAGATCCAGGAAATAGAGACATCCCCCCCTATAATCAATAAAAACTGTTCAACACCTTGACATTTAATAGGGAAGCTTGCAAATTCCAAAGATAAAGAGAAGATCCTTAAAGCAGCAAGACACAAGAAGTCCCTGACTTTCATGGGGAGGAGTATTAGGGTAACAGCAGACCTCTCCACAGAGACCTGGCAGGCCAGAAAGGGCTGGCAG